GTGTGCTGAACTTAACCACTAGGCCATGGGGCTGGCCCCCATCGTTTACTTTCAATCTACTTATATCTTTGAATCTCAGGTGTATCACTTTTAGGCCTGGGACAAACAAGTGAGTCTTGCTGCTTTATTCAGTCTGATAATATCTGCCCTTTGAGTAGAGTGTTTACTCTAATTGCATTTAATGTACTGTTACAGAATTTCTTTTGCCATTTTGACAGTTGTTTTCTCTATGTCTCATGTCTTTTTTCTTTCAAAGAAGTAATGGAATCACGAAGTGCCAATATATTTGGAAACTATGTAAACAACTTCTCACTAAATAAAATATGCAAAATACAGAAAAACAGAAAAAAATGACTCAAACTTGTGTCATTCAAACATAACTTCATTTAATATTGTGGTATATTTTCTTCCAGCCTTTTAAAAATTTTTTCTATTCAGATTTTTGCTTGCTTGTTTTTTTTTTCTGTTTATATCATACTGTGTATACAGTTGTTGTATATTTTTATCTTAGCAGTCTGTAACATGCATTTTCCATGTATATCCACCACAAAAGAGCCGTCACGAGCAGAGGGATACCTGAAGCAGTTAAGCAGAGATTCTATCAGAAGAGCCTTTGACTAAATGAAATGGTTCTGAATGACCCTGTTATTGAAATAACTGCCCTTGTCAAAAAAAATGTATATGTTGGAGGGTTGGTTTGGAAGACAGGGTGTCTGAGAAGCACCTGGCCAGCAAGAGTTTTGGTTACATACATGATTTTTAGCTTCCTTGTTTGTGAAACAGGACAAAGGAAAGGCACTTTCTTCAGTATGTTTGGTAAAACTCACCTGTAAAACGGCTGTACTTTAGTGTCTTGGAAAAGTGGTGTGGACTGTTTTTTACTATTGATTATGTTTGCATGTGTGTGCATATACATAATCTCACATGATATCAAACTTATTTGTTTTATGGTATTCTAACCTTTTATTTGCTTGTCTATTAGTCTTTGATGCTGCATTTACCAATTTCTCTATGTAGTTCCATTAAGTTTTGCTCTTTGTGGTTAAGCGCACACAAGTTCATGAGTGCGTGATGACTGGATGTCTTCCTGGCAGATAGTTCCTTTTACAATGACCACATGTCACCTCTTTATCTCTATCAATCCTTCTTGCCTTAAATTCTATGTCTGATATTAATGTTATTAGATGAACAATTTTTAGGTTAGTATTTTCTTGGTATATTTTTAAATAACTTTTCCCCAAATGTTCTGGTAATATGCTCTAACCATCTATTTTCAAACAGCCTATAGCTGGGTTTCTTTTTTAAAAATCCAGTCTAAAAATGCGTTTGTTGTATTGTTGATGTTTTTTAATAGACAGGCCTAATCCATTTATATTTATTGTAATTAATAATATACTTGGACTTCTCTCTACAATCTTGAGTTTCTTATTTCCATACTTTCCATTTACTTTTCTTTTTCTTCTTTCTTGCCTGCTAATCCAGTAACTAAGTGTTCTCTAGGTAATTTTTTTCCTCTATAGGTTTGGAAGTTACAAATTCTATTTCTCTTATTTCGGTGAATATCCTTCAATGTTTAATATGTGTATCAGTAACAGACTGTCATATGCAAGGCTGCCATAATCTTTTAAATAGCCTTTCTATACTTGGGAGAATTCCCTGGTTATAGATCCCAACTCCCTAGTATAAAATTCAGAACTCAAATTTCCTGCCCCCCTTGCAGTTAGGATGCAGGCCTATGACAGAGGCTCTGCTAACCAGAAGCACCCCTGGAAATTTGAGGAATGTGAGGATACAAGCTCTGTATATAGCTTCTATTTTCCTGGTGCAGGTAGAGGCAGAGGCTCTCAGTTTGTGGAGGTGGCAGTGGTTTCAAGGTCAAATTTCTGACACAGAATTAGGATTGATGCTGACAGCAGGAGCAGATGAAGAAAAGCTGAGCTTCTGGCATTTGGTGCTTGATGGAAACAGCAGCAATATCGTTATCATGCCAGTTGCTTAGTGTGATCTAGGGCACTCTCCTTTTTAGCTCTCGCAACGACTCTAGGAGCTGTTGAATATCAATTTAAGAAATGCTTGCTTGGATTCTGTTTTTTGCCACAAAGACCCTTAACCAATATAAGTTGTCAAAGTCTAAGGTCGAGGAATATTTCACTCCAGAATGAAAGGAGTCTAGTCTTTGAATCAGAACTCCCTTCTGCCATCATCTACCATATTATTAAGGGCTAATATTTTTATTTCACCTAGTTTTAAATTTCCAAAATCTGGCACTTAAAAAAAACTACTACTGATTTAGATTAACCAAGATATTTGCTAACTTATTTGTTTATCCTTCCTTTTCCCATCTCACTTATTCCTCTTGGGTTCAGCTTCTTTCTTATTGGAGTAAATTCTTTAGAATTTTTTCAATAAACATCTGTGAGTCCTAAATTTTGAAAATGTGTCTATTTTGTTCTTCCTCTTGAAAGATGGGTTAGTGAGGTATAGAATTCTAGTTTCTCAGTTAGGGACTCTCAAAACTTTGAGGATATTTTCCATTGTCTTCTATAACTTGTTGCTGATCAATCTGCTGATAGGATGGTCATTCCTTTCAAGATAATTTGACTTTTCTCAATGGCAACTTTTAACATTTTCTTATTGTGTTTGGTATTCTGTAATTTCGCTACTATGTACAGGTCTCAATTTTAGAAATTTATTCTGCTTGAGCCTTAGCATCTTCTGAGAACTCATGTTTTTCTTCAAGTCTGAAAAATTCTCACACATTATCTCTAGGGATATTGCCTCTCCTTCATGATCTATTTTCTCTCCTCCAGAAACTCTTTTAGATGTCTATTGGGTCTTCTAATTCTATCCCCTAGGTCTTGGAACTTGTCTTTGCTGCTTTGGCAGTTTATTTTACGCATTTTCCACTATTTCAGGCTCTTCATAAAAATCATTTTATAATATAGGGATTATCTGGCTCAAAAATCATCAGTAGTTGTCTACCTCCTACCACATAAGCTACTCTTCTGGCTTTCAAGGCCCTCATGCATTCAGGCCCTGCCATTGATTAGTTGGGTAACTGTGGGCACGTACTTTATTCGGGCCCCAGTTTCCCAACACAAAGAGGTTATTGAGGTTATTGCACAACTTAAATGAGGTAAAACATACAAGGTGCTGACAAGTACCTAAAATAGAGTAGCACAGTAAATAAAACTTGGTGTGGTTGCCTAGCCCACAGCAATTTCCCTGCTGGTCACCTCTATACGGCATCTTTCTTCCCATCATTTTAGACATGAATTCTGAATGAATCTGTGATCAATCCTAAGACCTTGCTTCCCTGGTTTTAGTGACTGGCTGAGAATGTGCACATGAGTATAGCCCAACGGATTAGTCATTCCTCAAGACTTTTAAACTTTGGAGCTTCCTTTACGACTGCAGAGTACTTACAATGTGAGTAGAGCTGCCAGCTGTAGTCAGAGAAAATGAAAGAGACATTTAGAAAAGGGGGGGAGATGGGGTAGGAGAGAAAGAGATTATTGACACCATTTAAGTTCCTGGCCTCACTGGCTTTGATGATATTGGACTTTTCAATACTACACATTCCTTTAATATTTGAATATTTTATAGTAGGCAGGAAAAACCTTATAATAAAGACTTAAAAAATATTATCAGAATTTGAACATGAATCTTATTTCATTTTATTGCTCAACTATATAGCTTTTCATTCCTATTTTTCAGAAAAATTGTTACCTTCTCTTTACCTATGGAAATGTAGTTGTTGTAATAATAGCATTAAATCTGAATGGTCCTACAGAGTTCCTACAGCCTTTCATATCATTATGTTGTTTGACTGTGTGAGATGAGCAGACCAGGTAATGTTAAGCTTAGTTTTTACAAATGACAAAATTAAGATTCAAATTAAATGGTGTTCAGGATGGAGAAAGATGAGAACCCTCCTAGGGGTTAAGCATCTTCTATCAGGCGAGCTTGGAGCCTACTATTTGCAAGGTTGTCAGAGATGGTGCATTACAAAATATTTTCATTAATCGTTGTTAATTAGAAAGTTTCAGAAAAGCCTTGAAAAATGTCATTAGCTCAGTCATAAAACCTATTAAAACGCATACTCGGTCTACAATTTAAATTCACACTCTCAGATGCACTTGTTTTCCCAAAACTTAACCTTTGCCACATTCCTAATGAAGCTCTTGTTGTGCTTTTAAATTCTAGAATTTTAACCTGTAGAAAATATTATTGGGGGTGGGGTGGGGGAGAAGGGGATGTACTAATTCCTGGCTAGACATTCAGTGCTTAACACGCTCACGTATGAATGAGGGTAAATTCTTATACCCCTTGACTAAGATAGAACTCTATATAGGGCATAGCACATGGGTAACTATTTATGAAGGTAACTTGTAATCACAAAGACCCCCTAGTAATATTATCACAGCACCTCTATTTTGGAGAACTCAAATGCTCTCACATTAACTTATTCACCCTCACTGAACCGACAAGCAGAGGCTGGGCGACAAACAGTATCTGCTGGAATTGATGAAGTAAAGGGGAGTGAGGTACTGAAGATAAATGCAAAGCAAGAGTAGTTTGCCTTCCTTTTTAGCCTCAGCATGACTGTTACCTCGCAGTAATGAGAATCCTTCCATTTTAAGTAGAAAATATAATTTACAAAGATGAATGCAATTTTAGATAAGAAATTGTTTTTATAAGATCAAGGCATTGATACGTCAAAGAATATTGGAAGGATCATACCATTGGTTAATTGGCAGTGGTTTTCATTTTGCACTCTGATATTTTCATTTTTTATGGGGATAAAAGATAAGCTTTTGTTATAAGTGCAGCATTAAAATAAACGGACAGTCCTGGCACAGGTCCCTTTTCTGACTGCCATTAGACTCAAATCGATCCTCTAAATAAAGTCTGTCCCAAGAGACACAATTGATGTAGAGAAAAGGAGACTTTTAAAAATTGAGCCTGACGTCACACATTTGCGTTCTAACCATCTGTACCTTTTATTAACCAGAGGCTGGAGCCGCCCGGGCGGATAGACACAGGCGCACCACAGTCTTCTCCCACACAAGCCTGGAATGGTAACAGTGTGCGGCTGCCTAAGAAAGAAAAGCCGTTTCAGAGCTGTGGGGTGGCGTGGGGGCGTGTATAGCAGGGTGAGGGAGTCATTCCTCTTCTCTTCCATCCGAGGATGCTATTTATTGGAAATCCAGCAAATCTTTTTTTTTAATTGATTTCTCTCGAGTGGGAGGCAAAACCCTTCAGATGCGAAAGAAGAAAGGAAAAAAAAATATGCAAGCCTGGCAGGAGGATTTTGCAGAGAACCACAGCCTTGCTTCGGATTGAGACTGCGGGCAGAGAAAAGCTCGGGCGTCCTCAACCTGTTTGGCTGCAAAGACGCCGCCTTTCCGCCCCGAGTGCCAGCATCGGCCCCATCCCCCACGGTTGCAGTCCCCGGAGGGCAGCAACCCCCAAGCTTCACCTCTCCCATCCTTCTGTGCCTCCTCCAACCTACTCAAGTCCGGAGGGGCGTGTGCCGGGGAGGGGCACTCATTCTCCTACGACGTGCAAGAGCCGGCCAGTTCATGCTCCCCCTCTCCGCCTTCCTCTGGCCCTGCCCGCCATCCCCGGGAGGGCAGCAGCCTCCGGGTGACCACCTCTCACCCCATTCCTCGGCTCCTTCATCCTCCCCAAGCCCTGGGGCGCATTCTCACTCTCCCTCCACGAGCGAGTCCGGTTCGCCCCTCTCCCCTCACCGCATCCAGGAAGGCAGCAGCCCCCAGGTGCCCACCTCTCACGTCCCTTCCGGCCCCTCACCCTGGTCCTTCATCCTCCCCTGGCTGTGGGGAGCGTCTGCACTCTACCTCCACGTGCGAGCGGGGATCGCGGCCCCCCCTTCCGGGAGCCCCCCACCTCCAGCCCTGGGCTCCGCCCACCGCGCCCAGGGCGCGCGCCCCGGAGCACCTGGCCGCCCCTCCCCCGGCCCCGCGCCCCTCCCGCCTCCTCCGCCCCGCGCGCCCGCGGCTCCGCGCCCACCCCTCGCAGCTTCCTCCTCCCCGCCCCCTCCCTCTGCGGGAGGCGGGGGCCGCGGCGAGCGCGGCGGCGTGGCCAATGGGCGCTCGGCTTACTCTGGCCTCTCCCCCGCGCGGCCGCCAATCGCGGCGGGCGGTGGTGGTAATATTGTGGAGTGGAGTTTGGATGCCGCCGCTGCCGCGGACTGGAACGGCGCGGCCGCGGGGGCTGCCAGGGTGTTTCGGGAAGGGGGCGTGAGGAGGCGGCGGCGGCCGCGCGTGGAGGCAGCCGAGGGAGAGAGAGAAAGAAAGGAAGGAAGAGGGCGGGGAGTCCTCAGCGGAGGAGGCGGGACCGGCCGGGCTCCTCACCTCTCGGTAGCGGCGGCGGGCGGCCCGGGAGGCGGCGCCGCCCCCCGCCCGCAGACTCCTCAGCGCAGCCGGCCGCCGACCCGCTGGCCCCGGGCAGCGGCCGAGGCTACAGGGGCGGGAGCGGTGGGCTGGGGCGGCGGCGGAGGCGACCGCCATGGCGTTCCTCAAACTCCGTGACCAGGTAGGTGACGGGCGGCGGGGCGGGATCGCGCCGACCAGAGAGGGAGTGAGGGAGGAAGGGCGGGCGGGCCAGCGGTGTGGGCCGCCCGGACGCCCGCTCGGCGGGGTGGGTGCGAGGGAGGCGCGGTGCCTCCCCAGGGACGGGCGCTGGGCGGCCGGGGACTGCAGGCGACCCGCCTGTCAGCGGAGCCCCGGCCGGGTGAAGCCCACGTGCCGCCGGGGGGCTCGCCGCCGCCTCCGGCCGCCGCGGCGAGAGGGGCGGGTCCTGCGCTCGCCGCCCGGGCGTCCGCGGCCGGCGCGCTGCCGGGAATGCGCGTCCGCTTTCCTGCCAGGTGAGGCTCGGGCCTAACAGGTGGCTCGCCGCGGCCGAGCGGGAGCGGTGCTGGCGGCCGTGGCCTCGGGTCACGACCTTGCACGCCTGTTCGCTTCTCCGGGTAGTTCGAGGCACACGCTCTCCAGGTTCAAGGCGGTTGATTCTGCTCAGGGACTCGTTAGTCAACGTGCAAGTTCCCAGACTTCTTTTCTTTTGACGTTTGTGCACCATCTTGGTTACTTTTCTTGACTTAGGAAGAGCTGGTCAAAGAATACCTGAAGTGCCGAAAAGCGTCGTGACGCTCTCGGATCGAAAAAATACTTTGTGTCTAGGAACGAAAGCGTACCCATTATCAGAATGATTTGTACACTGGAAAACATAGGAAGATGAGTAACTAGGGTTTCAGGCAATGCAGACCCTTCCAACATTTGTATCTTTCTTTTAAGAAAAACGGAAATTAACGTGAAATTTCCCTAGTTTCTGTAGACTTCTTAGTGCTGAGGGTTTATCTTTGCCATTTGTTTTTCTGAACAGAGGGTATTGAACAGATTTGAAGGGAAGGTATCTTGCATGTGTTGGGCAGCTATTCCAAAAGTGAGCAGCCCTTTTGCAAAAGCAATGCGGAAAACTTGAGATGTATTTTTTGATATTGTCTCTTAGTGAATTTCGTACCTTAAATTCTGAATCTAAGTAGTGTCATGAATTCTCATTTCATAAGTGAATTTTGTTGTATGTTTAGGCTGATGCCTGAACTCTTGTGTTATCATTTGGTATCGGGAATGTTTTAGCTGGAATTAACATCATCGGGACATGATACTGTGAAAAACCCTACGGTTTAGTCAAGTTTATACATTGTATTTCAAGTTATAGAACTGCATTGTCCAACATGATAGCCCCTTGCCACATGTGGCAACTTAAATCTAAATTAATTAAAATAAAATAAGATAAATTCAGTTCTTCCTAGCCACCTATCAAGTGCTCAGGAGCGGCATGTGGCTATTGACTTTGGTAATGGACAGCATGGATACGGAACGTTTATATTGGAAAGTTCTATGGGACGGCACTGTTAAACAATAACAGAGTGTAAACCAATTACTGCTAATTCCTGTACAGTTAACTCAGTGTTAAATGGTGTGAAACTCAGGATCTAAGTTCTGCACTAATCTTTACCAATCTAATGGCACTTTGTGCTTCCATAAGTTATAGTTGAGGTAATCATTGATTTTTGTTTTGTTTCTAGTACTATACTTTTGAAAAAGTTATTTTTGCAATTCGGATCATTGTGTGCATTAGGAATTTGGTGAACTTTTAGGAGAGCACCCCGTTTTATTCACCATCAGGTTTAAACAGAAAACAGGATTGTGTTTTCATTTGGACATAAAATCCAACCGCACCTTTGCATTTGTGTGTTTAAGAGTTGCAATTATGAAGGAATTGTGATGCTACTCCAGTTTTACACAATATCTATTCATACTCAGTGGTGATGATAATGTAAAATGTCACCTGTAAACTTGAGGCTAGTTGGACAAGTTAATGAGATGAGATAGCTCAGAGTGGGGAAAGAACATTGAGGTTTACCTCTAAACTACTGATTGGCTCATCTGGTCCCTCTTTTGGAAGACTGAGAAATGAGTTTGTTTTTGCCTAGTTTAAAGGGAATAGCTGCCTTTAGAAGTCATCTTTTAAGTTGATATTTTATTAGCTGTTAGAAATGATGGTAAAAATGAAATGGAATGCAAATACTATTTTAACCTTTCCCATCTACAGAAAAAGCAGTTCCACTAGATGAATTATTTTATTCGGAGGAAAGAAGGGGAAGATCTGGATAAGTACACAGAATTTTAAAACTGGAAGCTACTTGACATAGCATTTAGCTCAAACCTCATTTACACTTGAGATAGGAAGTAGTAGAATCTACTTTTCTATGTTATTTCCATATTCACCTTGTATTTTGTTTTCTTCTAGCTTTGCAGATGCAATCTAATATGTAGAAACTATAATGGATAGGGGTTGTTTTTCTTTGTGGGCATAAGTGTCCGGGGGGTTCTAGATGGTTTAAAATTCAGATCAGTGAGTAGATAAAGCAATTTGTTTTCATATCCAGTCAATAATCTGAATAAGACAGCTTTCCCTCATTTTGTGCCAACACCTTATATGGGGGTAAGAAGTTACACAACTGTACTACTTTCTGTTAGTAGGTGAAAATAATTTTTAGTTGTAAATGAAATGAAAATAATTTGTTTTCAGTTTGTAGGAGTAGAAATATGAACTTTTCCCTCAACTTTGTTCACATTAAAATGTTTATAAAGCATATATCTGTAACAATTGCAGGGTTTTATTCAACAGGTGTCACTGTCAGGATTTTATCTTTGCAGTTCGTAAACTGTAATCATACTTGATTGCATTTAATAATTTTTAAATTTTATTTATTTTCCAGCTTTATTGAGATATTATGACGTATAACATGTAAGTTTAAGATGTACAACATGATGATTTGATACATGTATATATTGCCAAATGATTACCACCATTAGGTTAGTTAACACCTCTATCCCTTCATATAATTAGTTATCTTTGTGTGTGTGTGTGTATGTGTGGAGATAGCATTTAAAATCTGCTTACTTAACACTTTCAAGTATACCTATATAACACAATATTGATAACTATAGTCACCATGCTGTACATTTGATTCCCAGAACTTATTCATGTTATGGCTAGAAATCTGTTACATGATTACATTTTAATTTATCAGCAATGATTTACACTATACCCTAGTAAGAAAGGTAGACAGTCTTTGTTTAGATCAAGGGTAACTGACTCACAACTGGGAGGCTAAATGACAGCTGACATTTGGCTTCAGTATCTAGAAGACAATAGGGAGTGATGGAGATCATGGCAAATAGCAGGTATTAGTTGCTGTTCACCTCTGGGCCATTGTTGCTGTGCAGGTGTGCCTAGTTCTTTTAGAACTCTAGTTTTTTTTAAGGATCCAGAAATCCAGATTCTTATGAGAAAATCTCTTTTTATAGATGTTGGTAAGTCACTATTTACCATTGATAAAAATTGAAAGCTGTGGCTTTTAAAGAGAGACTAGTAAGGGACCAGTTTGTAACTGCTAGTTTAGATCAGCTTAAGAAAACAGTACAAAACAAGATCCCCCAAAAACAGTTTTCTTTGAGATAAAATAGCCAAAATGATCATAAAATTAAAAAAAATTGAGATATAATTTATATACCATAAAATTCACCCTTGTAAAGTGTACAATTCAGTAGTTTTTAGTATATTCACAAAGTTGTGCAACCATTACCACTATGTCCAGAACATTTTCATCATTCCAAAAGCCACTAGCAGTCACTCCCTATTTCCCCCTCCTTCTAGCAGCCACTAAGCTACTTTCTGTCTTCATAAATTTGCGTATTCTAGATATTTCGTATAAATGGAATCATATAATCTGTGGCCTTTTATGTCTGACTTCTTTCACTTAGCATAAGATTTTTAAGGTTCGTCTATGTTGGAGCATGAATCAGTTGGTTAAACTTTTATATCATGTTTTAAGAGTTTCTAAAAAAAAAAGCCCCTATACTTTCATGCCATTTTACTGCCTTCTGTAGTGTGCATATGTATAATCTGAGATGTTGTTTCTGTTTTCTGACTTTGTTTTATAACTGGAGTTAAACTTTGTTTGCAGTAGTACTAAAGGATGACAGCTTTTACATTTGGATTATTTTTGTGTAGGAGCCATCTTTTTCCTCCCTTCTGGGATAATGGTCGTTAGGTAAGGATGCTTGATATGTTGAAGCTTTTTTTTTTTTTTTTAAACAGAGTTGGCGTATATCAGTGAGTAGGTATGGGATGGAGGAGAATAACTTAACCACTGTTTTGGGTAGTTAGTAAGTTCTCAGTTGATCAAGTATCCACTAAGGGCAGAGGATTATTTGACCTTTTAGTAGGGAAAAAAAAATAGGTGATCCTTAGAAAATCATATAATTGGGCATACAGGATATATGAAATACTTGAAAACTGATACCCAGATATTCAAGTATTCTATATGGA